CGACTGTTCGTGGGCGTGGAGAAACACGTGTCTTGCACGATGCTTAATTTCATCGGGAACGCGGTATTAATCTCGGATTTCCTGCTTGAATCGTTCGTGTTAGCCTCGAGCACCTAGGCCCGAGTATTTTTATCCGAACATCCGTGCAACCTTTCGCGATTCCACGTTTTTATTTTAACGAAAGATTGAGAAACTCTTCGTCGTCGGTATTCGTCCATGAAAATTTATCTTTTATTTTTCTAAATCAATCAATTAATTTTCTTCCTCGATCGAATTTTCTCCCCCTTGGCTGCAGGAGAGAAAATTTTCATGAAAAGGGGAGGAAGTGAAGGGTAGTTGCAGGAAAGTTTAAGAAGAGGGTTATCGAGAACCCACTCGAGCGACGAAGTGGCCGAGCTTTATGAACCACACACGATAATGGGGGGATGCGAACGAGCGATCTGAAACGGTCTGTATGTGCAGCTTCGCTCGTATTTGCGGATCCATGGGTTCTCCTGGACGCTTGTAAATGGACGGCGTTCTGGTAACGCGACGACGAAGCCAACTCGAGTGAAGTTAAGGAGGGGTTTGGATGGCTCTTCCTGCGGGAATAGGAAGTCCAATCCACCCTGCGCTTCCGTCCTCCCTTTCCTTATACCCGAGCTCGCATAAATCACTCCTTCTGCTCCCTGTCCTCCTCGGGAGTGTTTCGTAGTTGTCTGGCGGCGTTACGTAATTTAACACGGGACTAACCGTATTAATCAGTTGGCCTTTTTTTATTTTCCACAAGACAGAATAATTGATAATCAATTTTTAAACGGTGTAAAATAAAAGTGGCTGACAACGGTGTAAAATCCAAGTGTCACATTTCGAACTCTATTTCTGCAATAAAAGAACGAAGGAGAAAAGAAAAGAGGGTGGTCTGAATTAAAGGATCCGTTTGCACGGCGATCATACGCAACACGATATTAAAATTATAAAGTAGAAATTTTTATTAACCCGGGCTATTTTATATGAAATAGAGAGAAAGGGTGGGAGAGGAGGGTGGGTAAATGTAAGCAGTAAGCCATTTTCCAGACGATGAGGCGCGAAGCCCTCCTCGGCCTCTTAGCGCGGGTAATCCCTGCTTTACCAACCGAACCGACCCGAACCGGGGGAAGAAGCCACCCGCAGGTGCAACCCCAGGGCTTCTTCCCCCGTGAAGCGGCCAATATTTAATATTGCTCGTCCTCGTTACACCCCGAGTTGTTCGACAACGGCGCGGCTCGTCGAAGGAACTCGTTTCCTTCTTGCCATCACGTAGCTGGCATACATTATACGTAATATAAGTATAACGACCGGCCACTATTTTGCGCCAATCGCAGTTAATTGCTCTCGTAATAGGTCGCGATAAGCGAATGGTATTAATTAAAATTAGTGTCGCGATAAATCGCCCCGTAAAACGGGATAAAAACGATGAAAAAACACACAGGACCGGCACCGGTTATGACTCTGTAGACGAATTAATAAGGCTAATTATTATTTAACGCCACTCGCGCCACCCATGATTATTCTCACTTAAATCTTGCCTTCTATTCGCGAGACTATGCTTCCATGTGTCTCTTCCGTTCTTTTTCATTCTTTCATTTGTTTTTTTTTTCTTCATTTTCAAAGCGTAGTTGGTACAAAGATCGACGTTGACTTTCACGCATTGCGCGACTTCAAGGTCTGTTCTTGACTGCGATCGAGCAAGTACGTCCGTGACACGAATCCGTGCTCGGTTTCCTGTTTCCAAGTCAAGTTCAGTTCCTCGAGATATCAGCAATCGTGTATATCTGTACAGATACAATCGCGGCTGGGGGATGAATTTATAAAAAGGGGGATAGAAATCTGAGGAATGTAGCGATTCAAGATTATTTACACCGAAGCTATTTATCTCTTATGACAGATCTATGGAATGACTTGAATTTTGTCTGACTACCGGTTCTACTTTGTTATCGGCTAATTATTGGACGCGTGAACAGATTGACAGCCAGTGTCGCTCATTACTGACTTTGACGCGTAATTATCTTTTACCTCGGCTCGATAGACGATACTCGAATAACGCGATTAATTAGCTGTACGTTGTATCGCGTAACGATGCTTACGATTACAAAGTGTAGTATGCGATCTCCGAAGAGCTCTTGAATTTCACTCGGTGCCGTTGGTGTAATTAAGCGAGACGCAGGTGGAGACGAACGCGCGACCTCGTTAACAATATCGTTCCCTACGCTTCGAAGGCACGTAGGAAACGGTTGGAAAAAGTTTTGCCAACCAATTGCTCGGGCCGCACGCGATAAGAACTCAATTACGCGTTTTATCCAATTGCGAGCACCTCTTCCTGGCGCCGTCCTTTTCCCGTGGCCGCGTTTTTCCCTGCACCTGCTATGGGAACGGAAAACATTCCGCGTCTCTATTTCCCACCGACTTGGCCGACGCTTTTTTTTTTCCCTCCTCTTATCCTCTTGTTCCGCAATTTTTCAACGCTAGGCGACGCTTCTTTACGCGTGGCGCGATGATAAAAAGGACACGGGCGATTCGAAAGTCGGCCCCGGTGAAACCTTGCGAACGCGTCCGACAGCTTTTCCTCGCGCGGTAATTTTAATTAAAACTCGCCGGAATTGGCCACCTTCGTTCCCCTCGAAAATGGTAATCGCGTTTAGTTATTTATTATTTGTCAGTCGCTAATTTATGCTCTACAGCTGTGTAATTCAAGTTCAATTACTTTGGGACCGGGGAAATTTTGCGGTAATGAATATTTATCGAGCCGAACCTTCGGATAACTCGCGCGTTTACTGACCAAACAGATAAATCAAAATACCCGCGTGCAACTGCGACGGTGCTTTAAATTGTAATCTTGTCGAACGACTATTCGTTGGCAAAAAATTGCCGGAAGATTAAAAATTGCAATCTGTGACACTGAATTCGGTCTATTCTACCAGGAATCGTATCTAACCCGAGGATACCAGTGCTAGATCTATATTTTTCTAATCGAACAGTATTCACCTAGACAAAGGTTATGACATTTGGTGACATAAAAGCCGCAATTTACTATCACCTGGAGAAACATAGATGACACTTTTGTACCTAGATAAAGTACATAGACCGTGCCGCGTTAGACATGCAACAGTGCTTTCTGCCATTTGATCTGGACACGAGCGTGTGACATAGCTCTAGCTTCAGAAATTCCGATATACGTTGACGCCATAGACACTGCTCTAGACGCAATTGTCTCTAGGTGTCGTCGCGTATACACATCATAAGAAGCATCGTCGGTTGTCAACAGTTAGCCCGATTCAAGGCAGATGTTGCTCGGCCATCGAGTGCGTTGCCACGTAATTAGCGGCGCGTAATCTGGCCTCGTGGCAACGCCAACGACGCCATTACGGATCCGACTGCTGCGAACAATGAGAGATACAATAGCAACGAGACGATTGTGAACGGTGAGAGACTCGTATATCGAATCAATGCCAGCCGTGAAAGGGAACGCGAGGCGACAGTGCGTTACTCGCCACGCCCTCGCCGAAATATTTTTTCGGGTCTTCTTCTTGTAGCGGACGCGGCAGACCGCGTAGTCAGAGCCGACCACCACCTGCTCCTTCGAACAGGAACAGCTGAATGGGTCTATGCGACGCGCGATTCGTCTCACTAATCTTTCCTCGAATACAAGCCGCTTCTAAATGGAAACCCGACAAGAGCCTCGTGGAACGAAGGGATGCTCCTTTTTTTTTTTTTTTTTTTTTTTTCAATTCGGTGACTTTCCATGTTGCGCGTGAAGTCACTTGTCATCGAAGCGTCCTCGTCTGTGAAAGCACCCTCCGTCACCCTGTGAAAGAAATTTCTTTCCGTCCCACATAAATTAGGGAACCGCGTGCAACGACCAGCGGGAAGGGCAACTATGTAAACGAAGCTTGAAAAATGTTACGGAAAAATTCCTCGACAGTCCCCTCTTAGATTTTAATGAGTTTCAATGTTTCAAACCATCCATAAGCGCATAAAAGCTCATTAAAATCCGACAGTGACGCTCGGGGAGATGTCCTTGTCAGAAACGTAGAGTACTTCGGTGAACGATACGTTTCCCGTGTTTGCTCAACGAAATGCATTAGGGCGACGCGACAGCCGAAAAGATGCATCCGCGCAAGGGCGTTCGATGCTTTTGCATCTTGATATTGACGGCCCTTCGCGGAAAGGCAATTTTTCGTCGAGGATACACGACTATCGCGTTAACGTTGCTCCCACGGGAGATTCTCGTCGATGGGGTGCGCCACTATTTCACCCTGCGCCACCATGTTGCGACCAGGGTGTGGGGGCTTTGAAAGCCTCCGTGCTTTTCGCTATCTCGCGTACAAACAGATTTTAATGAGCAAAACGGCACGCTGGAATCGCACGATGGCGATTTCCGGAAATTTTACGGCCGTCAAAGCTCTCGGTTCCACCCCCTTCGTTCACCACCTCCTCCTCTTCTCCTGTCTCTCTGTGCAACGGCTCGACGTTACACCCGCGAGCCCCTAGTCGTCCATAGTTTATATCGCACGAACACGCGGTCCCCGCGTAATGGCCGTCCGTAAAATATTTATCGTGGAAATTAGTCGCTCGATGATGTATGCCCGTCGACTGTACGCACACAAGGGTCGCGCGTGTGCACCTGCCGACACGCGTGCAATTCTCTGCACAGGTAGATGGAAACGCGCGAAATCGCTGCGACCGCACACGCGCTGATGGCTCCGGGGGTGGACTATCACCCCGTTTCAACCCCGCAGGGACAATAAGCGTTCACGCGTCCTATCGGCGACATATCGATTCGCCGCTTCGACGATCGATCTTTCAGCTCCCGTGCGACCCACGCCGCATCATTTGCGAGCGAAACGAATTATAGATTAACCTCCAACGATGCAACTAATTTCCCCCCTTTTTATCTATCTTGTCTTTCGTACTGATTTGTTTTTTTACTCTGTGTGTTTCAGGTAAGTTTTGGCGACTCCATTCAAGGCGTATACTATCGCAGTGAGTTTTAGGATTAAGTTGTTCGGCATCGTTCACCTCGACGGGTTTCGCGGATCTTCACAGCGCACGATGGGATATTTTTATGGATATAATTTTCAAAATTTTGAGAAACGATATCAGTTACGACCTGATAAAATTTTTGAAGTTCTCTTTTCAGTAGTCTTTCTATGCAAATATCCTACTGTGCAACGGAAGTTTACACTGATATGTCCCTTCCGCCGCGTGTTCTGATAACAGGATGCGCCTGTTTACTCTGCAACCTCCAGATTCTTTCCACGCTTTATCCTAAGAATTTCAGCGTTGTTTGAATTATCACTTTTAATCTAATGTCAACATTAGAGAGCGCACGATTAACGCTAAGAAAGCAGAAGTACGGGACTCCGATTACGGGATATGATTGAAGAGGGTGTAAAGGAGCTCGAGTGGCTGTGTAATGAAATCGGGGGTCACGCGACCGGAACATTAGATCGAATCCGCGGTTATTACCCAGTAGACAGATGATTCATTTGACAAAAAGGATCGAATCGGAAGAGTGACGAACAGGCGACGATCGGTCCGTTAATTCATTCACAAATCTATCAGAAACGTACGTGTTATCTTCGTCGACTGATCGATCGATAGAATTATTCGACAGTCAAGGCTGACACGATAGATTCGGTCCTAGGAAGTTTTCCACTGGTGTACTCGCATCGCAACACATTGTTAAACGTAATGACGTGTGTTTACGCTTGTGAAAAGCTGCTTTGGTGGCTCATTATCTAATGTCAGAGTTGTTATTACGGGGCGCAGCGAGGAGATAGAGTCGTGATGCGACCGCGGTAATGTCAGTTTGATCGTACGTTGCAAATTACGACGGAAGACACGCTATTAATTAGCGATCGGACGTTGTTTACCAGTCACGACGATGGTAACGGTATTGCGGGCTGCGCTTCTTCGGCTAGCCGACTTTTGTTATTACATGCCATTTAACTAACGGTTCACGATGTCTCGAGGTCCTTCATTATTTTTATCGTTATTCGTTATTTCTTTCCGATCCAGCTTCCTTTGCTCCCTCTAGCCGATCTTTCGATTGTTTTTCAACGATTTTTTCGAATTACTCGCCGACGAGGTATTCGTTCATAACGCATAGCAGGAAATGAAATTCGCCGTCGCCGAATTTCCGCTAATCCCGGCTTCGGTTTCGCGGCAGGAACGAAACGAAATTAAATCGTGCATCGGCCGCGTTAATTAATACGCATTGCCGGCGTGTCGATTCGCGCGGCGATAGGTAATACGCGCGCGACTCGATTCCACAATATGTAGTAGTTTCTAATTAACGGACGGCATTGCGATCGATCCAATAAAAGTAGGCAAATAAATCGCTGATACCCTGTCAAGTACGCTCGACACGATAAATCACTACTTTCGGCCAATTATACAGCCGCGTTCCGCGTGCCGTGGCCACTGAAAAACAAGATTTTGAGTAACAAGCATCGATTTTCATCTGAAATTTATTTAATGCCGATTAAACTCGTGCCGCGGATATATTTGCCATTTATAATGCTTCCTCGCAGTGTTATAAATAAAACCGTTTTCCACGTGCCCGCCGCTCAAGTATCGATCCTTTGTGCCATTAACCCTTTCGTCCCGAGTGGCACACAATATTCCAAATACTACGTTCGATTAACGAGAGAATGAGATTAGAAAAACAGAGAATAAAGTGGAAGAAATATAGGTAGAAGAGTGGAGTACAATATGAATAACTGAGAGAAGCGAAGGTGGAATCCACCGGGGACATCAACTTTTCCTAACACTCTGACGTTCAACACGCTCTTCCGCGGCATTAGCATCGGGAAGTGGCAGAAGTTAAGCTCGCCGTGTCATTTCTACGTCTCTTTAACCCCGTCCCACCCCGTTACCTTCCGGTAACTTGGCTATCGTAAGCCTGGATCGGGACGGATTCGATGCATTTTAAAATTGCACGCGATTACGTTGCGCGCGACCTTCCGTTGTCGCCGATGATGCATAAAGCTCGATGAATTAGTTACGATGCCGCGTCGAGGACGAGCGGAACGCTTAAAAAAAGCATGATTCGAGTAACAAAGTCTCCGGTGTTCCACGATTTTGCAATTACACCGAGGCGAAGTATTATTTTGTTAAACGCAGGAACTAATGACTAGATCAATGTCTAAAAATTCGCACAGATACGATAGCATTAGATGAAGCAGACGATCGACCATTCCGCTCGTGCACGATCTGCTTTAAACCTCCCACACCCTCGTCGCGATAATTCGCATCCCTGGTGCTTCCTCGCGGTGTTACGCGAGTCTTGGACAAACATCCTCGAAAGTTGCAACCCTTCAGATTCATTCCTGCTCGCGAAACAATGAAACGAAATGAATATTTTGGTGGATAGAAGATAGAAAGAGAACGTGGTTGGAGGGTGAGAAGAGCGGCGCGTAGGTGAGTCGGGGTGCAAAAGTAGTAGGAAGGGGTGCTTCGGTCGTCGAAGTGCAATGACGTAGGGCGTCGGAGGCGTTGGTGGCGCTGGGCTCCCACTAGCGTATCGATTCCTCGATGCCAGGCAAGGAAACCAACCCCCATACCCCCTCTCTTCAGCTTCCTCTGCCTTCAACCACCCCCGGGCGACCGTGCCGGCTAACTCAGCCCTCTCTCAGCCACCCCCGTCTTCCGCCCACCTACAATCCCGTCGAACAGCCCTTCCTTCCTCCCTCGTTTCTCTTCCGAGCGACGGCCAACTTTCTAGATATGAATTAACAGAGTTACCGGAGCTTCTGCACAGCTCGAGCTTCGAGTTATGCGGTTTACCAACTTGCGAACGTCTCTGTGGCTTTGGCCCCTGTGTCAATGCTCGCTCGCCCGTCTATGCGGTTTGCGTTCCAGATATTTTCACGTTTCTTCAATCACAATAATGCTACTATACTCTAGCATCCCTGCTCCTACTGCTTGTTTACACTATACCTTCTTCCCTTATCAAATATTCGTGTGTCTTCTTATTACAAACTTTCCATTCACTATTACTCCTCGGGTCCTTACGTGTATGCACTTTAGGTAGACATTCACACAATTTATTATATATCACGTACCATAAAAATGTTCGTCCCGTATGATTTAAATAAATAAATATTTTGACCGAGTATTTTGATTCACGGGAAGACAGTTTGTATCAGGAAAATGTAGCGAATATTTTTTCATAAGCATGACATGCGTGGGACTAATAAGGTAATTAAGTCGGACAGCGTGGGAGTGGTGACTCGTCACGAACGCTGATTATCGGCAATGCCATAATCTGTCACGAGATCTGAACTCGATGGAATACCATTCGTATACAGAGTGTGCCAGCTTTGAATTCCATCCTTTCGTCAACGAAACCCCCGTCGTCATTTTTCGCATTGTTCCCGGCGCGATCATTAAATTCTCCCCTGTCTGTAGATTCATGAAAATTAGCGCGTGTGCTACATACTTTTTGTCCAAGGCTCGTTCGACTCTTGCAGTGTCATGCATCCGGTTGATAATGCGATTCCGCGGCACTGGGTTAGTGCAAGCACGCGGGTGCAACGTCGAGGAGGAAGGGTTGAGAGCGGAGAAACCGAGAGGAGGAGAGAGAGGATGCCGGTAGTCGAGGGAGGAGGGGTCGGTCGTAAGGGGTGCGCGGGTGATGTTGCAGAGGGAAGGGTTTGGGGTATTAAATCATAGAGCCAGAGCGCCTGCCGCCGGTTTACTGCCGGATAAAACGCAGTGACTGTTATGTTATGGACCACCTGTATGCCTCGACCCTGAACTCTGTCTCTCCCTCTCTCATTCCGTCGCTGCGTTGCTTGCTCCCGAGCCGACTGAAATCTATGGACGTCCAAAAACAACCCTTTCTTCCGGCTACAAATACGATCGCACTTTAAGTACATAGTTTCTTTAAAAATCAATCGGTAAACAGATAGTAGATGTATACGAATTCTTGCTGTTATTCTTTAATTAGTCCAACAATATTCTTTTTATCCAATAAGGTGGGATAACAAAAAATTAAAAGGCCAATCAAATGTTCAAAATGATAAAGACTTGCTACATTGTCTCAGGGAATGGTAAAAAATTCCCCATCGATGCATCTTATCCCAGGGGAACCACTGTGATTCTTAAAAACACAGTCTCGTTACTTTTGGAAGCAGCCAGCTGGATCGATCGCTGGTCTGACTTTCTTTAAACCGCTTCGTTTCTCACGCTGATATCGATCGGCTCTCGAAAGCACACAGGCTACACAAAAAGTAGAGAGAGAGAGAGAGAGAGAGAAAAAAAAGGAACAGCGACTTGAAATCGCGAGTTGGAAGGCAGGGTGCGTTGCACCCCGGTTAAAGCTCCGCTCGAACGATTGGACCGATAAAAATTTGTCCGAGTACGGCGGTCGAGTGAAAAATAGCGCAGAATCACGCGAGCTGGCAACGGTAACAGGCGTTCGCACGTCGAGCCTCGCGGCGAGAGTAATTAACGCGTCGCCCTCGACAGGTCTGACGTGCTCGCGCTTTGGAAAGGAATTCGCGACGGGAAGTGGCCGCTTCGCACCTAGACCGGGCACCGCCGGCAAAAAGGAGCCTCGTGGCTCGTGGAAAAGATCGGAGCGAAATCCTGTACCTGATTCAGCGAAGAAAGAAAAGCGTTACTTCCTTCGTTCCTATTTCAGAATCTCTTTCTGTCCCTTTCTCAACCCTCTCTCGTCCTTGATGCCGAGTTTTTCGTTTCTCCACGGAGAGATCGGTATCCGCGATTATATTATAAATATACATGTAACTCAGGCAAGGCATGCTACCCTGGCCGAGAGAGACGGACTCACACGAACAACGTCCTCACGTGCCCGGGAGATACCTGCCGACGCAACTGCACCGTGCATTCGGTGCACGGTCACGTGTATTGTATATGGCCGGTACCATATCTGCCTACCTTCCTACGAGACCCGGTACGCAACCTTCCTCTTATCTCTTTCTCTTTCGTCCTTTCTTTCCTTCGCCTTACACCGTACTCTTTCCTTCTCTACTCCCTGCCAAGTTGCTCGAGCAACTCGCGGTATTAAATACAATAAAGACATTCAATGGGAATTAATCGGATATCTACGTATCTACCGTCCAGTCTGGGTGCATTGTTGTGCGCCTGGTCCCGTGACGGCGTGTGCAGCCCTCTCGGTCTCTTTCTTTCACACGTTCCAACCCGATCGTGCCCTCTCCTTCTCTGCACCAACTCCTCCTACTCTTTCATTCGGTTCTTCGTATTTCACCTTTTTGCCGGTCGAGCTGCCGGGTCGAATGGAGATATTCCGCGGCGGAATAATATCGAGGCACGTTTTTAGAGAGCGTAAAGCCCCGACGCATCGGATCCCCGAGTCATTCCTTGTTCGAACGGTCGCGCGTCGTCGATCGACCGGCACCGATTGCTCGCGCTTTATGGGACCTCCTTCTCCCACATTGCCATTTTCCTTAAAGAACTTCACCTCGTATACCGTGCACCGGTTCGATACACTTAACGAACCCGTCCGCGAGCCCGGCTTTTCGATTCGGTTTTTCTCTACCGTCGGAAAAACTAGCGGCGCGGTAACCGTGCATCGACTCGATACGCAACGTCGCGTCGACGGGGAGATTTTAATCTCGATCGGAGAATTAATTTGCTGCCTTGTAGGGAATTGCGCTCGAGGAATCGTAGCTGTCTTTATAATTCGATTATATCTTCACCGGGTAGCATTCAGTTTCCTTAATGTTTTAATTATCCCTGATAACGAGATCACCGTGCATTTTTGTTTTCCACTTCCGTTGCTTTTTTTTTTCTTTCAAACTAACAGGTCGCGACGAGAAGAAAAGTTTCGCGCGAAATCGAAGGTTCTTTGCTGTTTCAACTTTTCACGGAGTTGTGTTATTTCTATCTGGAGACACGTTGCAACTCGCGGCAACACGTTCGCCGGGCCCGGTTAAGTTCGTCAAAACTGTCAGACTCTTCGCGGACAAAGTTACACGGTGCATTAAACTTTGAGCCACGTTCCAGTTCTTGCCACCTGTTTATAGCGTTGCTTTCGCGCGCATCGATTGTTCATTACTGTCGCAACTTTGCGGAGAAACTTTGTTGTTGTCGAGTCAATCGACGTTACATTGTAATGGTACACCAGGCGCGGTGCGAAGAAAGCCAACTGCATCTAATGTAGCTATAAAGGGAACTTTTGCGGCAACACGATGAATGATGAATGCGAGTTGAAACCGATCAATGAACGTAGCTTGATTTAAAACCCGACGTGGTACGATTTTTCTGTCGTCCCATGGAAAAAAGTGAGAATAATCGTGGTATAATGGAACGAAAAGAATAGCATGGACTATTCACGCGTATTTTTAGAACGTGTTTCAAATAAAACTCGAAACCTCATCCGTATCTTTATATCCGATCATCATAGACCATCGGTAGTTGCAAGGTTTCCTCTAACTTCGTTGTCTTATCAACGACGAGGCTTCTTCCTCACGGTACACTCACCCCATCCCCGTCGTTACAATTATTATTCGTCTTATCTGGCTCGATTTGCATTATATTTAAATTTAAATACACAGCTCGAGCGTAGCAGCGCCTTCTCGTCCCCCCCACCTGTCGCCCGTGGTCCCTCCTCCTCGCTGACTCGTCTCTTTGAAAGCCAACGGGGGCCACCTATTTGCCACCCACTGTTCGTAACTCCCGGGGTAATTGCAGGCCACGCGAAAACAATGCCGAAGTCAATAGACTCACGTGACCAGCTGGATATAATTCCTGGCTTGCTGTTTTCGGCCAATCGAATCGCGTGGTACCTCGTGAGAATTCCGTCTGAAACTCGCGATGCTTCTTTGCGCGATTATATAGAGGGTTAATTAAACGAGGGTCGAGGTAATGAACTTGTAAGTGCATATCATTTCTCGTTTCCCTTTTTTTCTCTCTCTTCTTGACGTGGAATGAAAATTGCACCTCGATTTCGTGGGAATGTAAATGAAAAAGCTGGAGAAATTGTCTCCTCTTTTAAAATTGCTACATCTACACGTATACCATTTCCCGGATTTCCTTCCTTACCCTTCTTTGATCAACGTCCGATCCCGGTAATGTGCCGGAACCCTTGGTCGAACAGTATCCTCGTAAACATATCGGGAAGAGCGTATCGTCCCCGACCTGGCTCAACTGAAACGTTAGCAGCGAAATGGCGTCATAAATAACGTCTTAAGTGTAGCGTCACGGCGTCGACCCTCTGTCGAGAACATGACCGACCTACGAGGGAAGTCCTTGCACCTAGGAATGAGCAATAAAAGAATTCGAAACATCGTTCTCGACATTGTGCGGCTGTAATTTCCATCAGCAACAAAGCATCAACAGACACCTCGGCAGTCTTTCGTTCTTCTCCTTTTTGGTACCTTATCTTTGTCCCAACGATCCGATGCTCTCGATTCAGCCAATAGGAGAATGGTGAGGTAGAAGAGCAAACGAAAGCTTTGTTGGAATCTAAGCGACGTAAAAAGCACACGGGATCCGTTCCTTTCTGCCATTTAGAGGGAACAAGAAGAAGAAATAAGAAGCGGCGGAGAAGGGCGTCGGCGATAAAGGTGACGTAGGGCGTCGCGACGTCCGTCAAGCTACGCCGGTTGGTCCACCATCCGGATATCTCGTTCTCCGTTTCGCTCGTTAACCTGTATACCTCTTACTCTCTCTCTTTCATCGAAGAGAATCTTCCACCTCCTCCACGTTTCAGCCCCGTCTCTCTTTCCTCCTGTCTCTCGGCTGAAACGAGCGAAATGCTTCTCTCAGGATCAAGGAAGAGCGCAGACTCCAAACGGCACCGGCGACCCCCGTGAATGGCGACCCTCACAAACCAATCGTATTCCCGTTTCCATCCCTCTTCGCTGCCGGAGGAGACTCCAACGGGAGTTTCCCTCCGCGCAACCCTGTCGACGTCGTTACTGTTACCCGCTACCTATACCCCTCTTCGTCTTCCCTCTGTCGGCTCGTCTCCACCCTATGGAACCAGGCTGCTTCGACGACCGACGCTTTCCAACTTAATGCTGCTATTTTCAGGTTTTAACACTCGCACGACCGTTACTGCTTTCCTTTCTTCGCAATCAATTCATTTCCTCGGCTAAGTCAATCGCTTTGTGATAAGATGAAAGATGGAAGATGTTTCGTGTACCATCGGAAAGACAATAATCCGATGTCTATATGCGGCAAGGAATCCACGGGTCGAACCGTTTATCGTTCGTTACATAATGGAAACGTTGCCGACGTCGTTCGACCATATTATTCGGATCTTGATCGACGCGACGAGCCACGGTGACCGGCTACGATTTGCAATTATTGTCGACGCCGTTATCGACGCGCACCTGTCGTGTCGCCTCGCTGATAGCCGACGCGCGACTTAATGTCCCGTGTCAGTCACGTGATGGACTTGTGCACGCGTGTCCAGAGACACGGGTCTATTTAGCGAAATTGTACAAGTCTCGAGAACAAACGTGACGCGACGTTTGGATTACATTTCTTTCGTCTAAAATATCTTGCGTTGAATACAAATTTCATGAGTTCAAGTGGAAGTTGCGAATTTTCTAAAATCCAGACAAGCTGCATCTACGCCGTCTCGTTAGCCTTGTCAACGAGTCAGAAAATTAATCGTAGCTCTTAATGGTGCTGGTATTATTTTACCCGTTGGAATTCAACGATTTTTAACTAGCAGGTTACTTTTTCCCCGCATCGTGGCGAGGAAGAAAACCTCGAAGACTATTTATTTCCGACAGACCGTCGGTACAAATAGTATAGACACTTTATCAATGTTCCTCGCGGTATCTTCGGTCCTGATCGTGGCGCACCGGAACTCACGGTGATCCCTTCCTTCGTTTCCTGATCTAAAAAGCGCCGCGGGATTTTTAACGATGGCCGTTCTTTCGCGAGGGAATCCACCACCACCTCTACCACCTCCTCCTCCGTGTATCTTCGCCAGCATTAATTACTTTCGTGGCAGAAAGGATCCGGAGCGATATCGCGCCGCTGCAACGACGATACAGACTGTGCGCTCTCTCTTTCTCGTTCCCACAATCCTCTTGCTCTGCCATCCTTCCAGCTCTCTGCCAGTCGTCTTCTTTCAGCCCGATTTCTCCGTTTCTCTCGGCGGGATGCAATTTACCGAATTGTTTTTAAATCCCTCGGGCGGCACCACGGCGGAACCAGGAGAAAAGCGTAGCAGAGAAAAAGAAAACACAGAGAGGAATGGAAGAAAGAGAGGACGGAGCAGGAGGAGGAGAAAGAACGAGGTTGGCGGCAGCCATGGCGTCAGCTGTTTTGCCCAGGAGGCGAGCACCCCCGTTTTCTTTATGTTTCTTTGCCCGGAAGTCCCATTCCGATATCGCCCCCGATACACCGCTTGCACCCGTTTTCCACTCGAATACCTATACACCTACCGTTTCGAACGAACTCACGCATAGTTCCTCGTCTTTCCTCGTTTTGAAACAATTTTCCAAAAATTACTGTCGAAAAAAATCCACTGTAATTTCATAACGGTTAAGCGTTATTATACGCGCGAATAAGTGTACGAAAAATAGAGGCGAAGCGAATCGATTGACGGGTGGGCCTATAGCGAGGCATAAGAATGCAGCAGCGTCGGCGAGGCCTTTGTGTCTCGCGTTTTAACGAGCCACGGTGCATAAATTAATCCAGAAGCCTGATATCGTTTGATTCGCCGCTGTGCCGCCATGTCCGTTCAAGTGCACCCACCTCTCTTCCTCTCTCTTTCTCTTCCGCTCCGCAGCTACGTATTTACCCTCCCCACTGCTTCTCCTGCTTACCTGCCAATACACGGTGCACCTCGTGTGTAATACCTTGCGTAGCGTGCGTGCACCTTATGCACCCGCCTCGATATGCACTTTTTATGGCCGCCACTTACTACCTTGAATGGTAGTCCTTCCCCTTTGACGACTCGGCCGCCGTCCTCGCGAAGGGACAACCGCTTTTTTCCTAATAATATCTTCGGATGTTTGCGCGTTAAGAAATCGCCAAATAACTGTTCACAGGCATCCTCTTCTACAGAAATGGAACACAAGTCTCTTAGAATCAGTTCCAAGAGGTCGGATAGATTTTTTTCATCAGATGTTTATCGAACACCATTTTGGCTGGCTGTTAAATATTCATCAACCAGTTTATCGCTGTCGGGAAACTCGTTAATAGAGAAACGGGAGGAGATCTCGATCTAAGCAAAGCGTTGTCACTGCTGTCTTTTTGCTCGCCATCCCTATTTCTCGTACCCATCTTTTTCATGCTGCTTGGCCAGCTTTCTCTTTCCTCTCTCTTTCTTTCTGGCCTCCCATAGCCAACCGTAGCCCTCCATTTCCATCGTCGTGGATCAATACACCGTGATAAAATGGCAGTGCCGTAAACGAGACTGTTCTTCGATCTTTTTTTGGGTATTAATAGCAACCGTGCTCATTGATGGCTTAAGGAACCAATATACAGGCGAATCAGTTGTCAGACTTATATTCCATCCAACGAGAGGAGATAGTAAATACGTACAAATTCACGTGCTCAAAGCAGGCTCGGCTCACAGTACATATATGTACCTTGATCGAAACTTTTGAAGAACTGGAAACAACTAAGTCCGACCCTGCATCGAGCGCGTGAATTTGTAAATATATCCTGACTCGTCTCGTTGGACGGATTACAGTTCCATCTCTTTTATTCTATCTTTTTCTTCAATTTTCATCCTGAACTTTGTGGCTTTTCATTTTTGCCAACGAAACATATATATCCAAGATTAATTTACGCTTCTTAATTTGCATTTAGTCTAGGCAGATCCTAGGGAGAATCTAGGGGGAGTTTAATATAGGAACCTATAAGCTTTGTAGATAAAGAATATGGATAAATAAAGAGAATAATCGGACATTCTTTTCTTTATATTTTTATTGCACTGAAAAGGGCTTAGTTTGTATTAAATTGTATATGTCAATCTATACACATAACGTAATGATCAGAAGAAGGAACGATGCGAGAGAAACACATTAGTTCGGGCAGTCTCCGATTGGCGGCGCGCAGGCACGATCAGCAAATGGTTACGGAGCGGATTACTAGTTGGCAGCACTGGCAAGGCGCGACTCGGTTCGGTTGCAAGCAGGAATGCTAAAAATTTCGGAGTTTATATTAACAGTTGTGCGGTTAAATGTGTGCTAATTCGTTTCGTGTGGTGTGGAAATTAGAGGCGATTCAGTGCGTTGACTACAGTCCAGTAACTTCCAAAAGGTAACAATTATTACTGTTAATTCCGTATGTGTGTATGCATGTAGGTTAAAGCGTAGCTATTTTCTCGTATTAAATAACATGTCCGGCCAAAGAAAACATATTTTCTCTCGTTTGACCTTGTATTGAAGGCGATTTAACACATTGTGAAGCTATCTCATGTCACCGGTTATTATTTCGCGATTGAACACGAAGAAAGATTTTATAATATTCTATATTACCCTGAGCGTCGAAAATGAAAGTATTCAATGCAACACGAATTAACTTGTGATCGATCAACAACGTTTGAGCATGAAAACATGAATTAATTCGTGTCCAGTCAACAATGTGTTAATATTGACCACGACTAAATAACTTCCACAATTGTTCAATCATATATACATAAAGTAGAAAGTTTAAAATCGTAAGGTTATAATTGCGATGATTTTCTTGAACGAAGCAACAAAATGGCGGACGCAGCACGTGCTTTCATTCGAACTCGCCAGTTCCGTTTGCTTTTTCGAATTCGGTTATTAATTCGAGCGGCAGTCTCGTAAAAAAGTAATTAATAAAGCATAATCGTGTTTTATGCATTTTTATGGGCAATTTGTAACCGAATTCCGTGGGCGGTCCAGTCTCTTCTCTCTCACCGGTTCTACGTCATCGAAGCGGTACCATGGAACCGATCGGTTGTCCCTTTGAAATATAAACACAGTGCATTTGCATGTTTTCCGGATTTAATTAGCTTCGATGCGATTATTAATTGCCCGCGGCAACGGGAATGGTCTCGCGTCGATACGCCACCCCCTACCCTCCAAGCCCTGGCGGTGCCGGTCGTATTTACAATTTTCGTTCGTAAATAACAAACCGTGGCGACGCCGCGGGTCGGATTTTAACGAGGGAATTAATAATCCGGTAGAAAGAGTGCGACAGCTCACGGAGGCGAGGGGAACGGTAGGGAATCGAACAGAGAGGAAAGCAGCCAGGGTTGTGTTTACAATCCAATCGAACGGCTACCAAGGCTGTTGTTGATAAATCGCGCTCGTTGCAAATGGAGTTTGAATCTTGCTCCGATCTTGAAGATACAAATGTAGGTACTGCAACGCTTTGTAGTTACAAATGAGAATAAGAGTGCGACAACGTGATTCAATATCATTTGATTAACGAACATTTTCAAAACAGTTGAACAAATAAAAAATCATAGAAAGGCAACGTTTTTAGTATTTCGCGTCTTGCTACGGTCAGCGCTGATGTGTTTTACTTGTTCCCTCGAAACGACGACCAGTGGTTTGGCTTTCTTTTTGGCTGTAATTCAAGCCGGCGTCAGGGTCAGTCTACCGGGACCAGGGAGATAGTTTATCATCATTTAGTCCTCCCGACCTGCCGCAACATTTTAAATCTCTCCTATCTCGGCCTGTGTCGCGATGCTCGAGGACATACGTGCTCGCATAACCACGTCATCCCGCGAACCTTCTAAGCGTTCAAGGAAAAGTCTGTATCTTTCACCTCTACTGATCCCGTTTATAAATAATAAGGCTAGGATTGAGAAAAGATATCCATGGATTTTACGGGAGGAAAATCTGGAAAATAAGGATCGATCGGCAGCGAACGGAATGAACTTTCCTCCGAAGAAACGAGAGTAATAGGGGTGGGGGTTATAAAAGCGTTCCGTTCTAAAAGTATCGAGGCTACTCCCGCGTCCGTCGCAAATTCTCTCTCCTTCTCCGCGTCCGTTTTCACGTAACATTAATTCCAGGCCGGCCGAGAGAGGAAAGCGTCTCGACGATCGGTATATAAGCGAGATATAGACACGATCCCGGCGTTGGGAACGGGGGGGGAAAGGCGTCCAGAGGGGGATGAAATTGAGGGGTCTGGGAAAGGGGACGTCAAGCGGCGTCGATTCGCCCTGAATTTACGCTAAGTGCACCGGTGTTGCAGCGACGGGACCGGTAATTCGGAGAACGTGGTCCCGGGGTCCCGGGGGCGGGTCGTAGGTCGGCAGGCAGAGTGCCAGAGGATAGAGAAAGAGAGAAGAGAATCGTGGTCGAGAGAACCGGGTACACCGTGTGCGATGTGCTGTGGTTAGGGTTGAATCGATACCGCCAAAGTGGGTATCGATACTTTTACTCATTACGCGTATCAAATAAAAATATCTCTTCTTACTTGATTTCCAAATTATTCCTATCTACTTATATTCTATCGCAATTGATGTAATGATCTTTTTTACTAATACAATGGGTGATTATATTATTGATTATGATCGTTTCGAAAAATATCTTCAAATCATCTATACATTAGAAAGGGGTGCATTCTACTATTATTGAAGTCATCACAAAATCTGTGATTTATTTAGTACCTTTTTTTAGTACTATTGATTATGATCGTTTCGAAAAATATCTTCAAATTATCTATACGTTAGAAAGGGGTGCATTCTACTATTATTGAAGTCATCACAAAATATGTGAATTATTTCAATGTTGCAATCAAAATATCAGTATGAAAGGTATTTAGTACATATTCGTATTTACTAGTATCGATTCAGGTGTGGTATAGTGTGCTTTGCGTTCTCCGCAGTCCGATTTCACCGTTCTCCGTCTCGTGCACCTCCTCTTTCTCTCGCCGGGTTTCCACCTTCTGGCTGCACATGCACACGGATTCGGCATTGTAGCGCTAATTAAACCAGCGCGTGTCACGAGTCACGAGCTGACATCGCTCCGTGATTCCTAACCACCTCCGCGCGCTCCCAACCACCTACTCGTCCACCTTCTGTGTTCTATTCTGCTCCTCGTACCCGCTCGCTACGTTTCCCTCTTCGTTGCTCGAACCGTTTTCGTCCCTCCACCTCTGGCTACGAAAGCCTCCGCTGGCTTTTGGCTGCCATCGATCAAACGGCCTCCACTGGCTGCTGCTGCTGCTACTGCTACGGGCTACGTTTATAACTCGGCGAACAATCGGACGTGGATACGTACAGGGAGGCAGAGCTTGCCGATCCGAGGAAAATTTCACCTCGGCTTGTTTTCTTCCGTCGACGCGACGATAATTCACCCTTTCGTTTGTTGTTACAATGAAACGCGTACGGACAAGCGATTTCGACGCTGCTTCTCGCGAATCTGGAATAGATAGACGTCCCTGTCCAACTCCCACAGTTTGCACGTAAAAATAACTGAATCTCATGCTGATCCAAAGGATAGGATATCTAGGGGCATGGGACATACTTGGCCGACTAAATTCGGCTCTCTTTATAGGAACACGTTTCCCGATAGCTTTTCAGCTTCTGCTATTTACGTATCCCCGAGAGTACATTCTAAAAGCGGAAACATCGTTCTCCTAATGGTACACGCTTTTCGTCGGGGATAATCTATTCGTCGCAACTCTGTGCTCACGGATCGTCGAGCAGAATATTTCTTTTGCCAGGATTGTTATTTTAAGATTCCTGCCTCGATGTTCTCTCGCTCGTTGATGCAGAACGTTCGACGATACAGGGTAATTCGAAGACCGCGCAAACGGCGGGAAATTAAAGCTAGAGGAGGATTCTCACGATTGAACGTGGCCGATAAAACAACGCGATAATCGGTCCGATTCGGTCGGGGCTAATTGGAGGAACGAGCAAAGTTGCACGCTCTTAACGAAATGACACGCAGGTTGCTCTTACTTCCGTTCGAAAGCGTTTATCGTCGCGTTAAAAATTCCATCGAACGGCCGGCGGTGGATGGGTCGGTCGGTGGCGAAAGGTGGTGGAGGATCGCGACCACGACCGCTAAGTGGCAATGTAAATTCGAGCGTGGTCGGGTGGAGAGCGTTAATTGTGGATTTGCGTTTTATGGAGGAAGTCGCGGAAGCGTAGTGGTCGCGAGCTCAACACCGAAGCCCGGTGCTCTCACCTGTCGCCGTTGAGTTACGTTAACACCTTTGTTCGATCTTATCGTCGGTGGCCAGGGTTCCTTCGGGCTCGTTTCCATTACGCGTTTAATGGTAATCGCGCGTTCACGACGACACGTCGGGCCCCGTTTCGCCGCGTTTGTTAGCGCGTGTACGCGCCTACATATCCGAAACGAAGCAGAACTGCTCGCTGGTCCTTCCTTATCTTTATTTCTCTTAATAACGTCCGTTCGCGTTTTCATTTCGCGCTGGTTAACCGCCTCGTTTACGCCATGCCGTTTGCCTTTTTTCAACGTACTTCCAGGATTTCTCGTTGAAACGTACGGTTCAAAAGTATTGATAAATATTTGATTTGTCTTATGAATTCTTGAGAAAATTATTAATAGTTATACTCCGATGACAATGGGTAAACGGGGAAGATCGCTTAACCCGGTGCTTAAAATTAATTACTATAACGGTCGGTCAGTGAAGTTGTCCGCTCGATCCGACAGCGAGTCGTCCCGCGGCAACGCGTACCACTAGCTATTTACAAACCGCGTCCTGTTTATCAATTTGAATTCGAAAGACGTGCCGGGACGACGACGAGTCCGCGACTCCGCAACAAATTACGTTTATCGGGCGTCATTAATCATCCGGCGTCTCGAACATCTGTGAACGACCCTTCTCTTCTTTCCTCTCCTACCTCGTGGCGAGAAAGACACCGGTTACTTGGTACCGCGAAAACGTCACGAGACGATCGTGGAAAATTTTTCATTTACTTTATCACCTGTGATCTTCCATTGTTTATTTAGTATTTTTAGTCATGGGAATCCGTTGCTTTCGTAATTTCTCTTGAATCAACGAAATGTTATTTATGAAGATGGTTAGAGAATCTGGCGGTAGGAATGTAAGAGGTGGGCGTAACGCAACGCCAGGATCCATCCAGCGAGGAAGAACGTAGACGAGGTTATACCTCGGATATAGATACATTCCCAATAACCCGATCGTATTGGGGTTGCGTCCTCGGTATAAATAAATCAATATAACCCGCTACCTCCCTCAGACGCCGCCCTCTTTCGCCGTAAGGAAGTGACGTATGAGACTCGCATCGTCGAAACGAGGGTTGAGGAGGCCACCCTGTTATTTCACAGTTAGGCTCGTCTCACCCCAGCTAGCGCGCCACCTTCAACCTTATTCCTCGCTGGCATCTTCTCTATCCAGACCGACCTTCGTCCCTAGTCCCGCTTCCAGCCGTGCACGAGTCCCTCGGGAAGCTTTTGTCCTCGAGCTGTAAGCGACTTCCTGACAGGCCAACTTTGCACCTGCTCTCCTTCTGCTGCCGTTGCCGCCGCCACCGCTTGTATCTCTCTTCGCTTCTACTTTCTCCCTCCCTTTCTCTCTCTCTCTTGCTACCTCTTTCTTTCGTTGGTAACCTTCGTCTAACCTTAACGCCATCCCATACCAAGGATCGGCGTTACCGGCACAAAATTTATTCGGCGCGGGTATCCTCAATCTTTCTCTGCCCACCCCTCGCGCGTCTCCTCTCGTTCGAAGGTAATCCGTAGATCAACGGATAAACCGGGCGTGTCGTTACTCGTACGAAATTATTTTCGAATAATCCTCCGACGTCGACGCCTCGCGAGCTTATCTCAATTACCAGAGACGGATAAGAAACGTCTTCTGTATCATCGGGAATAAAATCTTCCCGATATAACGTTTCGAATGTTGTCGTTTCGAGGTCGAGAATGAAGAAAACGACCAAGTTTCTGTCGTTGATCTCTTTTTCTGATTACGTGGAGTTTGATTTAAATATGGTGGACCGATCATTTCGTTTCAATCTCTGATTTCATCCTGAAACACGGACTCGAACGCGTGGCCGCTATCGTCGCTAACGCAAGAACCCCGAAGTTAACCCGCAATTTAGCCGCAGAACGATCGTTCAAAAGAGACGTCTCGCTTGATGCCACTTAACGAATCCCCGACTGACTCGGCTCGTGCTCCGTTTCCAGATGCGACGATTGCTCTTCTCGCGAACACGGAATCGGTCGTGATTAAAGTTTCAGGGGCGGAATAATTCATGACTCGGTTCGGGCCTTTCAATGAATTCATTCGAATCGTCGCTTCAGCTGCCTTGGACTTTCCTCGAATTCAATTACACGAGTTCGTTATTCGTCTATCGTTCGTCATTTAATCAGTGTAACATAAAATTGGTAATGTCATTGGTTTATAATAGTTCCGAGCAAAGGGAACGAAAATGAAATTTACGCTTTAGTAATTATCCGATGTGTGCCTAGGTTACGATTACAAATTTGCATTGCTAAATTACACGTGCACGGAGAGGAATGCCGAGATGTTGAAAATTCTCACGATAAATCACGGTTACAGGGTTGACAGGGTGACGCGTATGATTACACCCTGTCTCTTAGAGGCTATAAATTTCTTCACGCTCGCTATCCACCTTCGTTCTAGGATTCTACAGGTATTCTCGGGGTCCCGTTTCATCGAGGACTTCGGGGATAACCGTGACGCACGGTCTGCCAGCGTTTAATGGGTCGGCAAAGGCGAGCGACTCCGAATAATCCTGATGTATCGTTTACTCGCTCGATGCTGCTTCGAGCGTAGAAAGGCGGGATTCCATCGACGGGAACGCTCGCATCTTCGCTTTCTCCGAAACATATCCCGTCTCGTTTCTGGTTTCTATTATTCCGAACGATCAGGTGTATCATAGATAGGAATTCACTCGGGTCGCTCGGTTACTAGGATTCGTGAATCCTACGCGTTGTCGGATCTCTAATCTCCTTGTCATTAACGCGAATCCAGCTGTCCCTCGAGCTGTGGGATAACCATTACTTTCGAATCACTGGTTCGGCCCTGTCATTTGGCCAGGCCACAAATTAACGCGACTAACCATAACCGTAACGTTCGGTTAAACGCACCTTCCATCTCGGGCCCTGCAGTTAGAATCTTGACCGGGTACTTTTTTTTTTTTTATATCCATCAAACATCCAGCCAAGGAATTACGGGTTACAACGATATTTTTCATGCAAACGCGCTTTTTCATCGTCGTTTCCTACAAGTTGGCTCGTTTTAATTAATTGAGGAAAAGGTTTATTATTTCGGCACGTGGGTTTGATGCGCGATGGTTCATCGGGTCGAAGCAATTTTCTGTTTGTCGAGAATATAATTTTCGTCAAACAGGAAGGGGGATGGTCGGTATATTTCCGAGATAAGACTACAGCTTGCCCGTTAGGATCTACTGTACGCCCGACAGAGACCCTACTCTCTCGTGTGAAATTACTTCGTTTCGCGGGCTTACTCTTATCCCCCGGTGCCACCCTTTCTTACCGTGTATCCTCATTCAGCCGGGATCTCCCTGGAAATAAAGTAGATACCTTTCCTATTTTCGCATCCGGAAAATTGCAATACCTCCGCCACCGGGTGTCCTCCTATTTCGTCCTTATAAATCAGTCTAAAACTCTGCTACCGCGTTAATCGCGACGCAAAATTTTCCATTTCCTCGTCACTGATTTTATCGCGAAAACTACCGAATATTTTCCCCTTTCCTCGCATCGTGTTAATCGAACGACAATTTAATCAGGAAACACTCGATCTCGTGTTTCCTTGTCGCCAGCGATCCGCTCGATGCATTCCGGTAGGCGGGCAAAGCTGGTTGAGCGAGTGCCGGTTCTTAACGCAACAAGCTCCTCGCGCGTTTATCTAATTATTATAATTGCACGATTATTCTTGGTCGAAGGAACCGTGGCACAGGGCGAGATCCCATGCCTCGCAGTCTGTTGGGCCTGGTAGAAAATAAATGAAAAGAAGCAACGGGATATATATGGAGCGGCACACGATAGAATCTCCTGCCGGTCGAAGTCGTGATGCGAACGATCACGAATTCTTTCCATCCTTTGTGTATCGGCAATCGCTGAATTCTTTCCACGCATCCGTACTCTGCGTCGTTCGCGTAATAATCGTTGGTATTTTGCACCGGATCGTTCCTTTATTTTTATACACCGCGAATCGAGCCGTTCCGCGTAACCAACCATCGCTGGTTTCCATTTTTCTTTTTCCAGGAATTTATGTTTCTTCTTGTCAAATTCGATCGAGGTGTCGAGGCGTTTATTTGTGTATATAAATGTATTTTTTGAGGTTGGAAATAGTGATTAACGGAGAAATCGATGTTTTTCTTTGCTTCAGGTAAATGGTGTCCGCGTAGGGAATGGAGTTCGCCGCCAGACGCGCAACGAGCGGCGAGCGACGCGCGTCGCGGCGTTCTTTACTCTTCCGTCTTCCTCGGTAGTCCCGGTAAGTCTTACCAACTTCTCTCTTCTCAATTCTCTCAAAACTTTCACCCTTCTCTAAATTGAATATCTTGGCGAAATACGAGCGTACCGAGCTAGCGCACATTCCCCGCTTCAATTTTACCCACTCGTACGTTATCCTTAATTAAAGCGCTCGCGTTCAGCTGCTTAATACCCGCGTCGTTACAAGCGTCGTTAAGCGTCGCGTACAGGTACGTGAATTTCGGTGTCGATTGATCGTCACGGACCAGGTGGAAGAAGAAGAAGCTCGAGAAACGAAGAATCATGACGAATACGAAAGGCAGAGTACGGTGCTGTGTTGCGTGTGCGGACAGCACCAGCAGCGCGTGCATAGTACACGCGATTTACCTTGCTCCCAGTGGGTGGAGCGCAATCGTTCGCGGCATAAACAAGTTTTAATCGTGCCTCGGGCATTCGCCGGGTTGAATAAATATTGATATCGGCCGACGCGACCGGCCAATCAGAATCGGGGCTTATAAAGCAAGCCGCTTACACACCCGCCTGTCTATCGCGCGACGTGCACGCGCGTCACCTATTTCATCATCGCGCGTTACGTCGCGCAAAAGTATTATTTCCAGCCTTGAAACGTAAACCAAGGAAGGTGGTACTTGGTTGCGATATTTAAAATCACGTAAAGAATTTTAAGATATTGCAACCATCACGGTAATTATTATAACAGCGATCTTAGAGAAGAAAGCTTGAAAACTGTTAATTCTTCTGTTGAAATCGATAACGCGAGAGTTTACTGTGGATCGGTAGCCGCGGAAAGTCGAGCGTCCGATAGCTATCGATACCCGTCTAATTCACGCGGAAGGGATCGCGATCCTGTCTATCCACGATTTCTCCTTTAATTAAATTACGCGACCGCCAAGGTGGGCCCCGATAAGGGGACGTAAATCACTTTCAGTCGATAAGTAATCGAACGATTCCGAGAGACGTCCAGGAGGTTCAGTTGGTCGGTGGAAAGACGACGCGGGTATATCGCGCATGCTCGCGCACCAGCTTCCCTCTTTCCTCCCTATCGCGGTTCCTCTTTGCTCCTCTTCCTGTGGATTCGAAGGAAACGGAGGGAATATGAGCGAATGCCAGAGAGGTAGAAGAAGAAGAGAAGAGCTCGGCGGCGGCGAGTCAGGGCCGAGAAGGAGCCAGACAGAGAAGAGGGAGTCCTGGAGGGCGAAGGGAAGGGTTGGGTGCTAGAGACTCCGACAGGACGAAGAAGATAGACAGTGGGGAAAGCCGAAGGTGAAAGAGAGAAATCCACGTGGCGTCTCCATGGCAACGAGGCGAGGCGGGAATGCGACGGTAACCATGGCAGCCACGGGTTCCTCTCTCGGACCGACCTGTCTGTCCCTCTTTTCTGGTACCCTCGTCCTCCTCGTGTTCTCCTCTCTCATCTGTACCTCTTCCTTCCGCCCACGGTACGAGAACCACCAGCACCGACGGGATCCGCGAAGAAAAGGTGGAGCGCACTTGGATCTGCGCTCTGGAGAAAGCTGCTGCTTCCTCTTGCTTCTTCTTCCACCTACCTCCCAACCCTCCTCCCCTTTTATTCCTCTCTTCTTTTAACCACGATAATAGGAGTAGCGATAGCACGTCTTTCTATGCTACTCAATCGACTGAGAGGCTAATGAATGAGAAAGGAATCATAGAAGTTTAATTAGAATCGCGGTACAAGCTACCGGCAAAGTTGCTCTTCTGAATCAGGAAAACTCATTGATTCGCACGAACGATTGTAATTATTTAGGGGAAAATTAATGACACGGAATAGCTGAAAAAATTTTACAGGAAATAATATATAAAGCGAAACGATAGCTGGCTATCTCGTTGCCATAACATTCATAGTTAACGATGAACTGATAAATTCGAAGGCGTTTCTCTGTTTCACGTGTGCTTCGTTTCTCCCGGTCTCTGGTGCCGGTTTCAATTCGTTAAAACGTCAGCTTGTTCCGCGGCGTTGCGTTAACGCGGTTGTTTAATAATAAAAAGAGCCGCGGGGTCGTATTAATTAATCGAAACGCGGAAACGGGGGATAAATTTTATCTCGGTCGCGCGTACCTCGACTGTTAATAATGAATCGTTAATGCTAATTTTTGATTTATGCGTTCATAATCTTTCCCCCGGACCCGTCTCTCTGTGGCTAGATCATACCCCGACCGACTCCACCTCCCCCGCCCCATATCCCGGTGCACATACTCGCGAGTTGTTCCGGATGCGTGTTTTTGAACGCGACCGATATCGGTGACTGAATTAAACGACCGACCGGAAGCTCGGGATAAATTTTGTCGCAGGATACGCCGGTTATTAATAACGACTATTTCCTAGCAGTTCGTTAATAGGACCGCAACAACGATTGCAATTTACGCGCGTACCTCGCTTTGTGTGAAATTTTCGCGCTCGGTACGCCGCATAATTTCACCGTCCCTTTAGCAGCGTTCGGAGACAAACGTTTCCCAGAACCGATCGAACGTGCGTGGTTCGCAAAACCGATGTAAAAGTTGCCGGTTTAAAATTACCGAGACGCGAGTCCGCGCGCTTTGAATCTCCTCTCTCGGAGACCGAGAGGAACGCGGACGGCACGGCACGTTGAAAAAGCCGCGGATGCGTGGCCGTGCAGAGGGCGCGGGGCAGTTTAAAAGCTATCGACATTCTTCGACGCGGAAACGTGGCTGGTACCGGCGTTCGACGAGGCGCGAGAGAGCAGATATCCCAGGGACTTGGAGCAAGTTCGCGAGGTTGATTATGTATGACCGTCGAGGAGGAATCTCGGTATTCCTCTCGATACGTCGCTGAACTGAGAATCGAGTTTCTGCGTCGACGACGACGTTACCTCGTTCGCGTTATCCCCGATAATATATTTTCGTCGAACCATCAATTACCGGCCGGCCGTACGTGGGCCTCCTTAACGCGGTGCCGTTGTTATTTTCAGTTTCGTTAAGTTACGCGACGAAGAGGCGTTCCTCTTCGAACCGAGCGACGGAACACGATGGAACGCGACGTCTACAGAATCGAGCAGATTAGCGTCGCGAAACGGATCGACGAGCTCGTTTCGCGACCTCGTTCTAATTCCTTTCCTCCCCTTCGCTTTCTTCATTGGTTCATTCTTTATCTTTTTTTTTTTTTCGACCAGTTTAGACGGGATTCGAGATCCCTGACGTCAATCCCGGTTATTCTGTTTATCTTCATGGGATAGAATCAGATTCGAGAAAATAGACTTGATTACGTGAACCGTTTCCATGTTTTTTCCTCTCCCTCTCTTCATCTCATTTATCGCGTTCGAATTGTGTTGGTTATTCTTAGTTGCTTAAATTTCCCTCTTTTTCCACTCTCCGGAATGGCAACGTAACCAGGGTGCAAGTAAATGGATCACTTTGCTCAATTCTCGTCGAAAGGCAAGTTGACCATTCGCTTCCATCAAATCTCGTTACGCGTATCCAGTAGGTTGGTCTGAAAGGTACAAGAGATTCAAGGGTTTAGAGGAAAGGGTATAAAGGGTGGAAATTGTCTCTGTTTGGTTTTTCGTGGGTCGCGCATCATCCCGGGATCGGTGCTCCAGGCTAACCCTCTCCTCCTTCGCCACCCTTGGAGCTCACGCTGCAATGGCACACGGCATGGCTCCCTTTTCCGGTGAGTGTAGCGTAATGTAAGGGTTGCTCCCGCGTCGGCGGTGTTCCGGGGGGGGTGAGAGAGTTTAAAACCCCTCGGGGCTTGAGGTCCAGGCCGGTTAGATTTATCGGATGTTTTGGTTGGCGGCCATTGTTAGCCGCCCTCTCTCCACTCTCTTTCCCTCTTTCACTCTTCTCTACGGCCAGTGGCGTAGTCGATTCCGTCCAATAGGGAGGCATTTTTTACCCTTTTTTCGTTACCTCTCGAATACCCGACGACCATATATAGTATATATATGTACACAAAGATCGAAGACTCCGTAAAGCAATAACGTGTTAAGAATAATGCGACAGTTCACGGTTTCCTGCTTTCCCCTCGAGCGAAAATTTATTTTCTTCCTTCCACGATCTTTCAGCGAAACGATGTTTAAATTAGAGAAATTGTCGACTTAGATTCGCGAACTTGGAATCGAACTTCCAGCTACGCTTTTGCGCTTTGTTCCGCGTGGAAACACTCGTTCGTACGGAGTCTCTTGGTAACGCGGATCTCCGTCAACCCCTGCGCTATTGTACACAGTGGTTTGAACGATGTTCAAGCTCGCGACCCTTTTCGGTTCAACCCCTCGCAACCGCAGTTCTCTCTTTACCCGTTCTAGCCGGTACATCGTGCGATTCTACACGGTGGAACGCTGTCTCGGCCGGTGATCGATGCGGTCTTATAATTAGCTCGCCTTAAAAGCGAGCTTCCACCGTTCTAATTGCACGCTGAAAAAGCCCCTTTGTATTACCGGGCTGATTTCGAATAGCCGTGGCAGAAGGTGTTAGCGAAACGGTGTCTTGGTAATTTCCTTCGACGCATCCCCGGCTCGGTCGGCTGATACGTCGACGATCGAAACGTCATTCCGTCGGTGTGAAATCATCATCGTGGTCGTCGGGCAGCGGGTTATAACCGATAGTCCGTGGCAGGGAAGGAAGAAGTTTCAGGCAGGAGGGTTTCTACGGTGAGGCCGCGCAGGGCCACCTCGTGTTCTTCGATTAGCAGCAGACCGACCCGACCATGACCTCTCTCCTCTCCTCTTCTCTTCTCTTCTCTTCTCTTCTTCGGCCTGCGTACCATGCCATAGGTGGAGAAGATTCTCCGGCTCTTTCATTCTCTCTACGTTCCCTTTCCGTTTCTCTCGTGCTCCATCTCGCGGCACTGATTGGACGATCCATCACCGGCCCTCGTCTCTTTCTCTCGCGTCTCTGCCCTCTCTTTCCTCGTCTCGTCCTCCGCTCGTTTCCTCTGGAACCTCTCTTACGGTGGAACCGGACATACGTTCCATCCGCCTATGTATGCGCGTCGCTACGTGTGTACCACGTGTACGTACACAGGTAAATA